GGTTCTCAGGACTTTCTCAGTTATTTGCCTTTTGTTTAAGACGATGAAATAAAAGCAAGGTATGCTAGTGTGTGATGAGAGAGACAGGGGAGAGGTGTTGTTAAGGCTGTGCTTTGTAAATGTGGACGGAAAGAGGGAGTCAGTGTGTGCTAAATGTTACTCTATCGTTCGTGGATATTAGATTTTTTCTCTCTACTTAATAGGGCTGACATGAACCAAGGTCTAAATTTATATAGACCTTGGGCATACAATAATATGAATTATATATATGCCAAAATACTCTACCGTGCTGATACAATGTCTTAAAAACAAATTTAGCTTATATTACATACAAAATAAATCCATTTTGAGTACTGTGTTTGTCTGTATATACTAGGACTGATATTGTGACAATCGCTACGTAGCAAATTGTCATTGCGTGTGAAACAGAACAATCCTGGCATAGAAGGGTTTAGGTAGATATAGTGTAAAATTGTTGAGGAAAGTGCGAGGTTGAATTACACTATACAGTATTAATAAGGGCACTTGATGTAGGAATTAGAAAACCTTAGATTAGAACTTGGAAGCAGTCTGCATGTAAATCAACAAGGTTCGAGGAAACGTGATTGTGAAGGATTCTTGTGCAGAAGAATGTACTTTGTTTAAGTGTAGTTTAGATAACGAGATAATAGCTTGTTATGAGTTCAAAGAGAGACGTGAACAGTGGTTTGAAGGAGTGGTGATAAAGCTTAACATGGATGATATCACATAAGGATGTGGAAGCTGTTGGATACTAACTTTAGTTGGGGTAAGATATCCTAGGGGGTATTATAAGCTACGTGACAAGGATACTGACTTTATGGATAAAATAGGAGAACCTTTTTAGACATATAATTGACTATTATTTTGGAGTAAATATGTTACAAAGAAGAAAAGTAAGGTAGCGATACAGAGAAAATGAACTAGATAGCTAATAATAATAAAAACATAAAGGCAAAAAGCAGTTGTATACCCAATAGGACGACGAAAGAACTCTGTTCTATAGAATTAGGCTACTGAAAACAAAGAAATTCAAAATTGTTGAGAAAATACTACGTGCACGTGTTGAAGCAACGACTTAGCACAAGAGTGGGTAGAAAACGAACCACATTATTTTTTCCCAGTAAAGCTATAAAATGTCTCAAAGCCAGTAACCATAACGAAATAAACCACTCGCAGTAAGGCCATCGCATCCAACGCCATCTCGTGGACAATCTTTCCCTCACACTCGCTGTCCGCACCGCTACGAAAGTTAATAATTCCCCGCGTGTCCTTCCGGCCGGCGTCTGTCCGCCTGGCACCAGCTCCCACGACCTCTTCTGACTTCCGAAGTGACCTCCTGAGGATGCTTGTCTCACGCAGGATGGTCGGGAGCGGAGACGAGGATGAAGTCGTCGTCCGTGGAAGAACAGCGGGAGGCAGAAGAAGTGGAGCTGTGTGGAACGAAGGACGAGGAAGTGGAGCACGTGGTTGGGGATCCTCCAGGCTTCCCTCTGGTGGAATCCCCCTTGTGGTGGGTCTTGCTCTCCTCCTCCTCGACGCCGTAGGTCAGACCTGGGAATTGTGGATGTTTGTGGTATTACGAGTTTTGACTTTCATTTTAAAGGCGCCAGAAACCTTGTGTTAAAGTGTGGATTGGTGTATTTGTAAAGTTATATATTGTTTTAGTTTGTTCTTTTTAAGGCTGAAGTTTGATAATCATTTGGTGTTAAAAATGCAAATTTGAGCAATAATAATTTGATTACGGAATTTTGTATAAGGCAGGTGATAAGACATACCTATGCATGAATGTCACTAACACAACTCTTGGTTATGCAAACACTGAACCTAACTCTTCCCTCGCTCCCTACTTCCTTTCCTCCTACCTCCCTCTCTCCTTCCCTCCTCTTTCTCCCTACATCCCTCCCTCCTTCTCTTTCTCCCTTCTTCCCTCCTCTTTCTCCCTATATCCCTCCCTCCTTCTCTTTCCTCCCTCAGTCCCTTCCCTCCCTCCCTACCTTCTCTTTCCTTCCCTCCTTCCCTCCCTCCCTCACTTCTTTCTCTTTCTTCCCCTCCCTTCCAACCCTCCCTCCTTCCCTCCATCCCCTTCTCTCCCCCTCCTTCCCTCCTTCCCTCCCTCCCTCCCTCCCTCCCTCCCTCCCTCCCTCCTTCTCTTTCTCCCTCCCTCCCTCCTTCTCTTTCTCCCTCCTTCCCTCCCTCCCTCCCTCCCTCCTTCTCTTTCTCCCTCCTTCCCTCCCTCCCTCCTTCTCTTTCTCCCTCCTTCCCTCCCTCCCTCCTTCTCTTTCTCCCTCCCTCCCTCCCTCCCTCCTTCTCTTTCTCCCTCCTTCCCTCCCTCCCTCCTTCTCTTTCTCCCTCCCTCCCTCCTTCTCTTTCTCCCTCCCTCCCTCCTTCTCTTTCTCCCTCCCTCCCTCCTTCTCTTTCTCCCTCCCTCCCTCCTTCTCTTTCTCCCTCCTTCCCTCCCTCCCTCCCTCCTTCTCTTTCTCCCTCCTTCCCTCCCTCCCTCCCTCCTTCTCTTTCTCCCTCCCTCCCTCCTTCTCTTTCTCCCTCCTTCCCTCCCTCCCTCCTTCTCTTTCTCCCTCCTTCCCTCGCTCCCTCCTTCCTTTCCTTCTACCTCCCTCTCTCCTCCCCTCCTCTTTCTCCCTACGTCCCTCCCTCCTTCTCTTTCTCTCTTCTTCCCTCCCTCCCTCCTTCTCTTTCTCCCTCCCTCCCTCCTTTCTTCTCTCCCTCCTTCCCTCCTTCCCCCTATCCCTCCCTCCTTCCCTCCTTCCCTCTCCCCCTCCCTCCTTCCCTCCCTCTCTCCCTACCTCCCACCCACCTACCAGACTCACCCATATGCTTCAAATTGTTGGGAAGAAGCTCGAGAAAGAGACTTGAGCTGCGGTTCTTCCCTCCGGGGACGACGCCCTTGTACATGTGGTTCTCGAGGACGCCCGACGTGGTGATGGTGGCGACGTCGGCGTGGGATGCCCTTCGGTAGCTGGACGTGTCGGGAACGCGTTTGGGCGAGCAGGGGAGGCTCGCGGAAGCCGTGGTCGAGACGGTGTCCGAAAGCTGTAGCGCCATCGTGCTGTGGAGTTCCGCCTTGGCGCGACGCACGACCCACAGCGTGAGGCAGATGCTGATGATGATCTGTCGAGGAGGAGACGAGAGGGTGAGATGCTGAAGGAGGGGAGGGAGGGAGGGAGGGAGGGGGAAGTGCTGAGGGACGGAGAGAGGGAGAGAGTGAGGGGAGAAAGGAGGGAAAGAGGGAGGGAGGGGAGAAAGGAGAGAGAGAGAGGGAGGGAGGGGAGAAAGGAGAGAGAGAGGGAGGGGGGGAGGGGAGAAAGGAGAGAGAAAGGAAGGGAGGGGAGAAAAGAGAGAGAGAGGGAGGGAGGGGAGAAAGGAGGGAGAGGGAATGAAGGAAATTGGGAGACTAAGAAAGATGCCGAGGAAGAGAGGATGAAAAGTGAGGAGGGAAGGAAGGAGAGAAGCTGAGGAGGGAAGGAAGGAGGGAGGGAGGGAAAAGGGGAAGGTGGGAGGGCAAGAAAAATATTGAGGAAGGAAGAGAGGGAGGGAGGTAGAGAGGGAAGAAAGGCAGGTAAGGAAATTGTTCACGAAGGGTGGGAGAGAGGGAGGGAGGGAAGGAAGGAAGGAAAAGGGAAGTAAGAAAGGAAGGAGGAAGAGAATAAGAAAGAAGTTGAGGGAGGGAGAGAGAGAGAGAGAGTAAGAAGACTGAGGGAGGGATAGAGGGAAGAAGGAAGGGTGGGGGGGGGGGTAAGAAGAAGGCTGAAGAAGAGAGGGAGATAAGAGGGATGGAAGGAAGGGAGGATGATATGAAAGGGGAGAGAAAGAGAAAAGAAAAAGGGAAAGGAAGAAAAACAGAAAAACTAGATATGACAAGAATGAGAAGCCGAACAGACTGATTGGAAGGAAGGAAATAAAGGAGTAGGAGCGAGAAGGAAAGATAAATATAATAGGAGATGAAAAGTTTATCGACAAACAGGTAGAGAAAAAACGTGGATCGAATTAAAACAAACAATAAACAAAGAGAAAGAGGCAGAAAGAAAGAAAGAAAGAAGAAGAAGAAAAAAACAAGAGCACAACAAGATTACACGAGAAAGCTCACAGACACACACACCCACAAACACACACACAAACACACACACACACACACACACACAAACACACACACACACACACAAACACACACACACGCAATAAACGCGCACGAACAAACGCACACACTCACACAAACGCCGACGTAAGATTATCGAACGCCACCAGTGCATTATGGAACGGGATCCCAGGCCGCCGAAATGTCACAAGTGAACGCCTGAAGTGAATTCCGGGAACTGAACGGAAAAGGTCAGATCACGGAACGGCGGCGGCTTTGCAGGAGGAGGTCGTTGTGCTCGGGTGGGGAGTGGGCGTGGGGGGTAGGGGGTAGGCGTGGGGGGGTGGAGTGGATAAAGGGATTTCTATCAGGTGGCTGTGTCGGGTGGGTGGGTGGGTTGGTTAGGTGGTGGGTTGGTTAGGTGGGTGGGCGGGCGGGCGGGTTCGAACTCAGTGGCCTTTGGGAGGGCGGAGGCTGCTAGGAAGGGTAGGCGGAACAACACAGGTAGGAAGGTTACACACACACACACACACACACACACGCACACACACACGTACGCACGCACACACACACACACACACACACACACACACACACACACACACACACAGATAGATGGAGAGAGAGAGAGAGAGAGAGAGAGAGAGAGAGAGAGAGAGAGAGAGAGAGAGAGAGAGAGAGAGAGGAGAGAGAGAGGAGAGAGAGAGGAGAGGGAGGAGAGAGATGAGGGAGAGAGAGCGTGAGAAAGAGAGAGAGAGAGAGAGAAAGAGAGAAAGAGAGAGAGAGATAGAGAGTGAGAGAGAGGGAGAGAGAGGAGAGAGAGGAGAGGGGGGAGAGAGAGGAGAGAGAGGAGAGAGAGGAGAGAGAGGAGAGAGAGGAGAGAGAGAGAGAGAGAGAGAGAGAGAGAGAGAGAGAGAGAGAGAGAGAGAGAGAGAGAGAGAGAGAGAGAGAGAGAAAGAAGAAGAAAAAAATAAAAAATAAAAGAAAGCCAAAGATAGAAAGCAGAGCAATGACATACATGAAAAAAAAAGATAAAAGACGGATAAAAAGGAATCAGTGAAGCCTTTTCCTGTGATACATTTATGGCAACACCATCCGAATTATCACCATCATATTATTATTTTTTTAATTCCTTAATTTTGAATGCTATCACATGGAGTAGCTACATAAACTAGTCAGTGTTCTCTATGACGTAACTATTGTACAGAAAATGCAGTATTATAGCACATAATGTTTAGTAATCTTTCTGATCTTTTGATTTATTTCCAGATTTGAGTACAAGTGTTATTACATGATGATGATAATAATAATAATAATAATAATAATAATAATAACAATAATAATAATAACAGTGATAATAATGATAATGATATTAATGACAATGCTAATATCAACAATAATGATAATGATAACAATACAATAAACACTACTGTGATACAGAAAGAAATATAATGAGAATAAAAAAGAAAAGAAAAGAAAAGAAAAGAATGAGAAAAGAAAACGTTATAAAAGTCCCTTCTTGTTTCGCTGTATTACGTAACTCAGTTTTCGAAGGGAAGGTCAGTATTTTTTCTTCTAATTCCGGATAGCCCTTTCTTGGCTTTGTACATTACGTCAACGGGTTTTATCATACACTCTTTCCCTCTCGGAGTTGGTAAAAAAAAAAAAAAAAAAAAAAAAAAAAAAAAAAAAAAAAAAAAAGTCCGCATTCTCAAAGTCCAAAATCCCTTCACATACATATCCAGCTTTTGGGAGAATGTGGCGGGAAAATAAAAAATAAAAGTTTTATATAGCAGTCCAGTGAAGCATATGGACATTATTTTCGCACTGTTTTAGTCCAGTTTAGAATTATCTGGCTTTTTATTCACTGTGTGTTTTTGCTGTGTACAGTAAAGAATACGCAGACAAATAAGACACAGACAAACAGACAGATAGATAGGCAGACACAAACATACTCTCTCTTTCTCTCCGTCTGTCCATCTGTCTGTCTCTCTCCCTCTACCACCCTCCCTCCCTTTCCCTTCCTTCCTCCCTTTCCCTCCATCTCTTCCCTCTCCTTCTCTCTCTCTCTCTCTCTCTCTCTCTCACACTGTAACTGAAGATTATTGAAACATGTGTCGAGATATGTATACCAACACCTGTGCATAATGAATCACATGACACATTCAATCAGTACACGTAAATGAAGACTTTGTTGATATCAATCAGTGATCACGTTATTTATAAAGTACGGCTTTTAACGTGTTACATTTCAATTCGATTATCCCTCTATAAACTCGTAAAATTTTCAGATATAAGGGAAAAAAAAAAGAAAAAAAAAAAAAAAAAAAAAAAAAACTAGCTATTCATAATTCAACTGCATAAAGAAAACACATTTGGTATTTTTCCTGTTCGACTCACAAATTATCCAATCACAGACTTCAAGAATTACTGAAAGCTTCCTTTCTTGTCGAGACATAGGATCCAATCGAAGTCAATATTTTTCAAATGGATTGTATAACACCATCTTGTTAGTTTTTTTTATCTCACTGACCAATTGTATAATCTATTTATATTTCATAAGCAACTGACCTTCACTGTTTCTGTTACATGGGTTAGTAGTATTGGTATTTCATTCCTTTTTATCTATTTATTCATCTGTTCATTACTTTTCAGTCGTCTATTTACTTATCTATTCATCTATGTATTTCATAAAATAAAGAAAAATGCCAGCTGAAGAACCCTGTTTCACAAAGAGTGAAAAACAACAAATTACAAAATTCCCTTATTTTTCCGCTGTATTACGTAACTCGATTTTCGAAAGAAAGGTCAGCCTTTGTTTGTTTTACTTTTTCTTTTTTTCTTTTTTCTTTTTTTTAGTTCTTGATAGCCTATTCTTGCCTTTGTATATTACGTCATCGGATATTATCATACATATTATTTAGAGTCGAGTGAGGTATATGGACACTATTTTTGCATTGATTTTGTCCAGTCTAGTATTCCCTAGCTTTTTTTTTTTACAGTGTATTTCATTATTCAGAATAAAGAATACGCAGACAAATATGACACAGACAAACATATTGACAGACAAACACACAAACATACTCTCTCTTTCTCTCTGTCTGTGTACCTGTCTCTCTCTCTCTCTCTCTCTCTCTCTCCCTCTCCTTCTCTCTCTCTCTCTCCTTCTCTCTCTCACATAGTTACTGAAACTTCATTAATAAAACGTGCTGAGATCTATATGCTAACACCTGTGCATAATGAATCGCACGACACACTCACAGTAAATGTAAACGAAATTAGACGATTTTGTGATATCAATCAGTGGTCACGTGACTTGAACGTTCACAACTTACTTATAAAGTACTACTTATAAAGTGTTATAGTTCAATGCACTTATCCATTTATAAATCAAAATTATCCAGTCATAGACTTCAAGAACTACAAAACGTTCATATTTTTTGTCCAGACTTATATAGGATCCAATCGAAATACATAGTTTTCAAATGGATTCTAATACCACCTTGTTAGCGTTTATCTCATTAACCAGATGATTTCGGGATTCACACGTTAATTAGCCAGTTGGGTAGGTGCTACATAATCTACACATATTTCGTACGTAGCTAATCTTCACAGTTTGTTTCATGGGTTCGTAATATCGGTATTTCATTCATCTTTATGTATTAATTAATCTCTTCATTACTTTTAAACGTTTATTTATATCTAATTTAGAATGCATCTATTTTTTATTTTACTTTCTCTCTTCACTATAACAGCAAATAACTTCATCTCGTGTTAAAAATGCAATGCGTTCCTTTTATTTACGGCCCCTTGATTTTTTCTTTTCGTCACTTTTTGCTCTTACCACAACTTTTTTATCTCTTTTATTCTCTGTCTCTCTCTCTCGCCCTCATTATCTCTCTCTCTCTCTCTTTCTCTCCCTATCTCTCTCTCTTTCTCTCTGTCTCTCTCTCTTTCTCTCCCTATCTCTCTCTCTTTCTCTCCCTCTCTCTCTCTTTCTCTCCCTCTCTCTCCTTCTCTGTATGTATGTGTCTGTCTGTCTGCCTCCCCCTCCCTCTCTCTGTCTCTCTTTCATGGGATAAGTACAGAGAAGTAATATTTTCACACTTACAGAATAATCGAATGTATTTATATCTCTCAAACACGATTTTGTTCCACGAATATTGGAAACTTATATATAAAAAACCGGTAAAGATATATGCGATATTTTGGCTTTGCAACATTTTCATTTTTTCTTATCCTTCTTTACTTTTTTTTGCATATGTACATCACCAAAAATTCCGACGTCAAGTTTAACACATAAAGTGTCATAAAATACAATTCACTTTTTAAAATATTCATAATATAAATACAGCACAAAACAAGAATATTTAATCATAACAAACACTGCTTCAACAATATTTCTTTTTTTCCTTTTTTTTTCCTTTTTCTTTTTCTTTCTTTTTTTTTTTTACTTAATCTAAAAGCAACGTGATAATACAATAACGTAACGATCCCTCACACATTTTATATTGATAAGAGCTCAGTTATAGGTCTACATTGTGCATTAACCCCGATTAAGATTTCAAGAGCTTAGATTGCATTTCTCTGAGAATTCCAGAGTCAATATCTGATGATGGGGATAATTTTCTTTGCCGTCTGTCATTCGGGAAGGTCATTGGCCATGGAGAAAGGTCAATAATAAAGTTTATTGGGTACATAACATGACTTGACTTGAATGCTTGCTATCCTTGAGAGAGAAAAGAAAAAAAAGGAAATAAAAGAAAACGGGGGGAAAATTGGGGGTACTACGTTAGAAAGAGGAATAAGAGAAATGGCGAAGATTATGGTAAGGGAAAAATGGGAATAAATAGGGGGAAAAAAGGAGGGAACGAAGGAAACACAAGCGGATAAAAATAATCCATGGGAAGAGTAATGAAGGGAAACAAGACAAATGTTATATTCCAGGAAACAGGAATGAAATCGAATATTAATGAGGATGGAAGAACAAATTGAGAAAACAACAATAACAACTACACAAACAAACAAATCAAGACCGAAAAAACAAGAATGCAAAAATAACAATCCTTGAAAACGGAAGAACTAGCAACAAAAAAGAGAGAGAGAGAGAGAGAGAGAGAGAGAGAGAGAGAGAGAGAGGGGAGAGAGAGAGAGAGAGAGAGAGAGAGAGAGAGAGAGAGAGAGAGAGAGAGAGAGAGAGAGAGAGAGAGAGAGAGAGAGAGAGAGAAAGGAGAAAGAAAAAGGGAAGAAGGAGAAAGAGAAAGTAAGAAAGAGGAAGAGAGAGAGAGAAAGAAACAAACAAACAAAGAGAAAAAGAAAGAAAAAGATAACGAGACAAACAGAACGAAAAAAAAGAAAAAAGAAAAAAAGAAAAAAAAAAAAAAACAGACAGAGACAGATAACAAACCAAGAAACACAAAATTCCACAAGACACCCTCATTACTTTTTTTTTTACTTAATCTAAAAGCAACGTGATAATACAATAACGTAACGGATCCCTCACACATTTTATATTGATAAGAGCTCAGTATAGGTCTACATTGTGCATTAACCCCGATTAAGATTTCAAGAGCTTTAGATTGCATTTCTCTGAGAATTCCAGAGTCAATATCTGATGATGGGGATAATTTTCTTTGCCGTCTGTCATTCTGGAAGGTCATTGGCCATGGAGAAAGGTCAATAATAAAGTTTATTGGGTACATGACATGACTTGACTTGAATGCTTGCTATCCTTGAGAGAGAGAAAAGAAAAAAAAGGAAATAAAAGAAAACGGGGGAAAAATTGGGGGTACTACGTTAGAAAGAGGAATAAGAGAAATGGTGAAGATTATGGTTAGGGGAAAATGGGAATAAATAGGGGGGAAAAAAGGAGGGAACGAAGGAAACACAAGCGGAGAAAAATAATCCATGGGAAGAGTAATGAAGGGAAACAAGACAAATGTTATATTCCAGGAAACAGGAATGAAATCGAATATTAATGAGGATGGAAGGACAAATTGAGAAAACAACAATAACAACTACACAAACAAACAAATCAAGACCGAAAAAACAAGAATGCAAAAATAACAATCCTTGAAAACGGAAGAACTAGCAACAAAAAATAGGAGAGAGAGAGAGAGAGAGAGAGAGAGAGAGAGGGGGGAGAGAGAGAGAGAGAGAGAGAGAGAGAGAGAGAGAGAGAGAGAGAGAGAGAGAGAGAGAGAGAGAGAGAGAGAGAGAGAGAGAGAAAGGAGAAAGAAAAAGGGAAGAAGGAGAAAGAGAAAGTAAGAAAGAGGAGGAGAGAGAGAAAGAAACAAACAAAGAAAGAGAAAAAGAAAGAAAAAGATAACGAGACAAACAGAACGAAAAAAAAGAAAAAAAGAAAAAAAGAAAAAGAAACAGACAGAGACAGATAACAAACCAAGAAACACAAAAATCCACAAGACACCCCCATTACCTGCGCCGCGAATACAATCCATCCTGTAGCAGTGGCAGACGAGGAATCAGAAACCACCTCGTCCAAGCTCCTTACAGTCGTCCCAAGGTAGCAATTCAAGATCTGGGTTGGTAGCAAGCCGAGTACCGTTGCGAACAGGTATAGCCAAGTCGAAACGCGAGACACCTGCGGAAAACAAAATGAGTTCGTTAATTTTTTTTTCTTTCTTTAAATCGTTTTTTTATGGTATGCTGAGTTTCTTTTTTTTTTTTAATAGATGGAGCTCATTTTTTTTACCTTTAAATCGTTAGTATGGTATGCTGATTAAAAAAAAAAGGTGTTCGGTCATTTTTTTTCCTTAAATCGTTTTTAAGGTATGCTGATTTTTTTTTTGTAATAGGAGTGGTTTGTTATTTTTTTTCTCTTAAATCGTTTTTATGTGCTGATTTTTTTTTTATAAAGATGTGGAGCCTGTTTTGGTTGTCAGCGGGTGTTATTGGGTTTATATTGATGTTGGTTAAAAGGACTGGTTCAAATAGGTTTCGGTATGATCATAAATGCCTCTTTTCTGTAGTAAAATAAATCATTAGCGGTAATATTCACCAATATCCATAATCATCTTCATCACATTTATAGCTACAGGTGTAAAATCTATAATCATAATCAAACAAACCGTTGAAGATTTTTTTTTCTTAGTAATACAACCCGGAATAAAACTGATTCTCCGTTACCGCCAAGAACACAACCCGGAAATACAAACGGATTCCCCTTCTAACCCAAAGAGTTTCTCGCTTTTCCAAAAGAGAAAAGTGACTTTAACTCCATTTGACCTCTTCGTAACTTGTAATATAAGACAAGAACAAAAAAAGAAAGAAGAAATTGAAGAAATATCAAGAAAAAAAAGCGTGAATCGTTTATTTATACGAAACAATAGGCTAGTGAGGTCGCGTGCATATCACACACACGTTGGGTTAACCTCTTCTACTCCTGCTGATACGATCTCGCGCGATTTATTCCCGTAGAGTTGTGGTCTTGTTGTTTTCTTTCGCTGAGGTCGATGAGAGGGGAGAGGGACAGAAGAAGGGAGGGAGGGAAGGAGGAAGGGAAGGAGGGAGGGAAGGAGGGAGGCAGGGAGGGAGGGAGGGAGGGAGGGAGGGAGGGAAGGAGGGAGGGAGAGAGGGAGGCAGAAAGGTAGGGAGGGAAAGAGAGAGAAAGAGAGAGGGAGAAAGAGAATGGAAGAAAAAGACAAGGAAGGAAAGAAAAAGAAGAGAAAGAGAAAGATACATACATAGATAAATAGATAGGTAGAGAGAGACAGAGACAGACTGAGACAGACAAAGAGAGGAATAACAATCGAGAGAGAAAAAAAAAACAGCTCAATATCCAAGCATGAGTCACCTCACCCCAAATCAAGCACAGTTGAGCACAACAGGCACGGTTTGTTCATCGCTCAGCAAAACGTAAACATATTTCAACATTCAACATTATTTTCACAATTTCTGAACCTGTAGCTTATGGATGACAAATGATTTATGGTAGTTGGTACGTAGTACATAAAACAGTACTGAACTATTTCCATAACTCTATTGCGTGTGTTTTTTTTGTGCGTATGTAAAAAGTATGTAAAGAATTTTGTACACAAATGTATACCACACACACATAACCACATACACACGCGCGCACATACCCACACACACCACACAAGCACGCACTCACACACAGACATCCTTCCACGCACAAGTACACACAAACCCTCTCTCCCACACACATTACCATACATAAATGATAACCAATCGACCCAAAACTCAGGTCATTCATAGCGAACCACCGCCGTCACGCGGTTGTGGCCAGCTTCTCTGGGAGCAAAAGCAGGACATGATATCGGCTATATAGGTATGTATGTATGTGTTCACGTATGTATGTGTATATATATAAGTGTGAGTATATATATATATATATATATATATATATATATATATATTATATATATATATATATATGTGAGTATATATATATATATATATATATATATATATATATATATATAGTGTGTGTGTGTGTGTGTGTGTGTGTGTGTGTGTGTGTAAGCGCGTTGCGTGTGCGTGTGCTTGTGCGTACAGATAAATCAATAGATCGATAGACAGACTAATAGACATAATTATAAATGCATAGATACAGAGATAGATAAATATATATATATATATATATATATATATATATATATATATATATATATATATATATAGTTATATATAAACATATAAATATATATATATATATATATATATATATATATATATATATATATATATATATATATATATATATATATTTATATATATACATATATTTATATATATACATATATATATATATATATATATATATATATATATATATATATATATATATATATATATATATACATATTTATATATATAGCTAGACTGATAGGCAGATAGAAGTTGATATAGACACAGATTTATTGATATTTATAAATATAAATCGGTATGAATATGTAGGAACACAGACGAGAGAAAAAGAAGTGTTATAACGTATGCTAGTCTGCACGTAAAAAGTGCATGCATCCCAATATAGGCTTTGGAATCTGCTTTCCCCAAAATAAACCGTAAAAATAAACCATGTTCTAAACCAGCTATTTCAAGCTGCGAAAAATGCCTAAATAAATCTCAAAATGAATACAATTTAACTAAAGTGACGTTTAGTTTCTTTTAGAGATATTCCGCATAACAACTTATAAAATTAATGTAATGAAAACGGTGTTGGTGACTGCAGTGGAGGGTAGACTTTAGGAAAAAAAAATCTTAATAGACTTGCTTAGGACAATCATAAAGCCCAACCTCACTAAGCTGTTAGCTTGCACGCACGCATCTCTCTCTCTTTCTGTGTGTCTCTTTCTCTGCCTCTGTCTCTTTCTGTCTGTCAGTACGTCTGGCTGTCTGTCTTTCTCTCTCTGTGTCTGTCTCTTTCTCTCTCCGTGTCTCTCCTTCGTTTCCCTCTCCGTGTTTCTCCTTCTTTTTCCTCTCCGTGTCTCTCCTTCTTTTCTCTCTCCCTCGCTCTCTCTCTCTCTCTCTCTCTCTCTCTCTCTCTCTCTCTCTCTCTCTCTCTCCTTCCTTCACCCCTTTCCCTCTCTGCGTCCTCTCACTCACTCTCTCTCTCTCTCTCTCGCTCTCTCTCCATCCTTCACCCCTTTCCCTCTCTGCGTCCTCTCACTCTCTCTCTCTCTCTCTCTCTCTCTCTCTCTCTCTCTCTCTCTCTCTCTCTCTCTCTCTCATAGTTACTTAATGATCACGTGACCTAATTAATCATTCATGATTATCACGCAAACAAACGAACAAAAAACATCGATAACAAAGAAACCCCCCACCCCACCCCAAAACAGAAAAAAGCCGGAGAGAAAAAAAAAGAAAAGAAAAAAAAAATATGGTTGAGAAGAGAGAGAGAGAGAGAGAGAGAGAGAGAGAGAGAGAGAGAGAGAGAGAGGGAGGGAGAGAGGGAGGGAGAGAGAGAGAGAGAGAAAGAGAGAGAGAGAGTGAGAGAGAGAGTGAGAAAGAGAGAAAGTGAAAGAGAGAGAGAGAGAGAGAGAGAGAGAGAGAGAGAGAGAGAGAGAGAGAGAGAGAGAGAGAGAGAAAGAGAGAGAATAAACAGCAATAACGCAACAGGTACCGTTTTATGGCTTGAATCGGAAGGAAATGAAGTTACGTACTAGGGAGCGCGGGAGAGAAGGTGAAGGGAAGGAGGTAGGGGGGGGGGGGGGAGGGGGGAAGGGGAGGAAGGGGAGGGAGGGAGGGAGGGAAGGTGAAGGGAAGGAGGAGGGGGGGGAGGGAGGGCGGAAGGGGAGGAAGGGGAAGGAGGGAAGGTGAAGGGAAGGAGGAAGGGGAGGGGGAGAGAGGGAGGGAGGGAGGAAGGGGAGGAAGGGGAGGGAGGAAGCGAGGGAGGGAGGGAGGGAGGGAGAGAGAGAGAGAGAAAGAGAGAGACAGGTAGACAGAGACAAAGAGAGTGCGAGACAGACAGACAGACACACAGACACACACACACACACACAAACAAACCAGACAAAACAGACAGACAACAAGGCAGGCAGAGAGTTTTCTCACTATCCTCTCCCCACGCCATGTTATAATTCCGCCGTGATTGTTCCAAGCACTTACCCCTTGCGTCATACAATCTGCTGCTCTATATGTTCATAACACGTGCATTATCTATCGAATTTTTCTCACGCAGTCCGACAGGCGAGGGGGATGTGAGAGGAATACCCGTATCACGTAATTATGAACATTTCTATACAAGTGAAATCTATATTAAATAAGATATATATTAAATTTTAAAAAATGAGACAAACTTTCGTCTGCTTCTATGGCTATGTCTATAGATATGGATTTATCTGTGTTTATGGAAAGAGAGATAGATAGATGAATGGACGGATATACAGAGATAGACAGATATTTAGGTAGATAGATAGACAGAGAGAAATATAGATAGGTAGACAGATGTACAGGTAGATATGGATATACAGACGTAGATATATAGATACAGAGAGAGAGAGAGAGAGAGAGAGAGAGAGAGAGAGAGAGAGAGAGAGAGAGAGAGAGAGAGAGAATAAGAGAATGAGAGAGACAGACAGACAGAACTTCATCAAAGTTCATTTATAATCTAATATATTCTTCACATACCTTCACTATAAATAGGCTAAAAGCACAGCGCTTCGCCATTCTCTCTAACCTAAATAATTTTGTAAAAAAAAAAAAAAAAAAGTTTCTATCAATCAATGTCCAGACACTTGCCGGTATAATGCTATGACCTAAAGATTTCCGATCGTGTTAATGCCCCAGCTGCCGAGGAATCGATCAATAACCTCATGCTTGTGGTCATCACTGGATTCCCGATAAGCCATTTGCGTGTGTATGGTTTTCGGGCAAAATTTGGAGACGGGAACCAGATTGGATTTGAATGAATGAGCAACTGTGTAGGTCAAGGTATTGGCAAAAATTATGGAATTTACTCAGAAAAAAAAATATATAGATATATATTTTTTAAAACATCGCATGTATATATGTACACTAACGCACGCTATGAACGCATACATGCACATACACATGCAAATGCACACACACACACACACACACATTCCCGAGAACTTTATGCATCAATAAGGAAGTAATATA